CTTCAGTGATCTAACGAGAACTGGTGAATATTAAAAAAGATGGAAGTTCCTTACCTGGTCGTTAAACAATATGGAAGTTAATCAGCTGGTCGTTAAAAAATTTGGAAGTTAACCAGCAGAATATTAAACAAAATGGAAGTTAACTAGCTGAATATTAAACAATGTAGAAGTTTATCAGCTGAATATTAAACAATATAGAAGTTAATCAACTGAATATTAAACAAGATGGAAGTTAATCAGCTGAATATTAAACAAGATGGAAGTTAATCAGCTGAATATTAAGCAAGATGGAAGTTAATCAGCTAATTGTTGGTTACGGAATTCTAATTTTGCATTTTTTATTTGTGATATGGAGAAATGTTTCAATAGACCATAATAAGTACGACATTTTTTATCAGAATCGCACATTAAGACAGAATTTTCATGGCGATATATGTCGAGAATGCTTATGGACAGCATTTCAATTATTTAAAAATTAAATATACAGAAAGGACATTTTTCCCTTTGCTTTACAGAGCTGCACAAATAAGAACATGAGAGTTTGCGATATATATTGTAGGAGATCGTAAACCACAGTGCGAAAAATCATATATATCGAAAATCAAAAAATTTTCATTTTTTGGATCGTTACATCGATCACCACAGACCGGGGATGATGTTGAGCGATCATTATTTAATCCAAAGAATGTGTAAGCGGTTTTTCGCAGTAATTTTAGCTAAAAAATAAAAATCAAGAAAGATAGATGTTGCGGTGATCATTGCTTCTTGTAGAGTCAGGTGTCGGAGCTTCGTACCTCTCAATTCTCGGAGACTCCTGTACAAACATAGTTGAATGATCCAAATTTAATTCATTAAATTATATTCCGGGGAATAGATGTACATAATAGTGAGTACATCGCCTACTTATCTTCCCTGGTTCTCGTGTCAAAATACTTGTACAAGGTACATGATATGTACAAGGTACATAATTAATAATTAGCCGAATATTAAACAAGATGGCAATTAATCAACTAATCAATAATTACAAGATAGAAGTTAATCAGCTTATCAAATAACAAGATGGAAGTTAATCAGTTGATAAAGAAACATGATGGCAGTTAATCAGCTGATCAATAGACAAGATGTCAGTTAGTCCGCTGATCAATTAAGAAGATGGAAGTTGATCAGCTTATTACATGAGGCGGAAACTTATCAGCTGATAATTAAATAAGATTGCAATTAAACAGCTGAGATCACTGAAAAAGATGGAATTTAATCAGAGGATAGAAATAATGACAGTTCATCAGCCGAACAAAAAACAAGATGGCTGATACTCAGCACAAGAAACAAAAGAAAAAAATAGATATATTGATGATTACATGTTCCTTATTTATTTAGCCTTATCTATTCTTTGTCCTTGATATTTCGAAGATTGTCTCGTCCTATTGTTTAGAGATGGGCACGTACGGTCTTTTTTTTATTTCTTTCCTTCATTGTACGTTTGTGAACGACCCATTTTGTTCGTTTTTTTCCATCATTCAAACACATTGATTTCGTTCGTTCTCAAAATTATCGTTCATTTTTCACCTATTTCGTTCGTTTCCACACTGAGTGCTCGGTAAAATCGTTCTTTCAATAAAATGTTCGTTCAATACAATCGTTGTTCAGTAAAAATACAATAGTTTTTTTTCAAAAATTTGTTCGAAAATTCGTTTATTCAGTAAAAATCTATGGTTTAAATAAAATTGTAGTAAAAAATCGTTTGAATTTAGTTTTTATAAACGATTGTTTTTTATATCTTTTGGAAAATTCGATCGTTCGGTAAAAAACAATAGTTTTTTCAAGTTTGTTCAAATGATTTTAAATCGTTCGTTTTTCTTTTATTTTCGTTCGTTTTCAAAAAACGATTTTTCATTTCTCTGAACGATCCATTTTTTTGTCCATCATTATTTGTTTTCTGAATTAAGTACCCTTTCCCACGAAAAAGAACGTGTCAAATCTTTCCCCGGGATTTTAGAAAGATGAACATTATTGAAGGACTGCACAGTACGGTTTTGGTTAATCATATTTACGTACTAAGCCTAGGGGTGTCAGAAATATTTGTTTGCATAATACCCCACAGTACCCCACAGCACCCCACAGCAGCACACAGTACCCCAAAGTACCCAGCAGTACCCAGTATTACCCTACAGAAATGGGGAATACAAATCAGCTTATTAGTATGAAACCAGCTTTTTCATGCATTAAAATAGAGCAAAAATGACTCTAATTATACATTTTTTTTCAAAAATAAAAATTCTGTTTGGTTTGGCCACTTTTTATGCAGAATCTTTCCTGCTTTCTGAAAGCTTTTACATCGGTATGTTTAAGGATATCTACTTGATATTAATTATCGATAATTATTTTGCCTTAAACTCTTAATAAAGTGAATTTAGAAAACATTTGTCAGTTTAAGAAAGTTTTATATAAATATATGCAATCACTTGGAACAAAAAGTTTTATTAAAAATTAATCTTTTTTAGGATTGTTGGACGTTTTAAAAGAAAATGCAAAAAAATATTTCTTACACTCTTAGGCTTAGTACGTCAACATAATTCACCAAAACCACACTGTAGTCCTTTAATTATCATACAGAGAAATTTTAATCTTTCTAAACATTTCATGGAAAGATTTTACACCTTCTTTTGTTCATTCTCAACAATTTCTTTCGTTGAAAAAATGATGCCCATCTCTAGTTTCTTAATTTACATAGTCTTAAACGCTCTCTTTCTTTCCATCAAAATATACATAGATGTAAATATAAAAAGTGAAATGTAGTTAATTTGAGAAAGTGTCCATTAATTATTTTTATTAACCATAATTGTCATTTAAGCTTCAGTTTTTGATGTTTATAACTAGTTACTACTATAACACAGGTTTTTAAACTTGTCATTAAAGGGTGTAAAACAAACACTTCCCAATATTTTTCTCCGAGAGGCTTAACCATTATCCGGTCATAATGAAATCAATATCAAAATGTCACTAGGATGACTTTGTAGTAAAACAAAAGATAATGTCAAATCTATTCTGAATTGGCTAATTATCTCTTTATTGACAGGTTATTTCAGTTTAAATTTGCGTAGAAATTTTTTATAACTTTAATTTTAAACTAGTTTTGATTTTACTTTTTTGTCAACTTTAATCAAAAGAATTCGTTTTTTAAATGAATTTTACTGACCTCCGTGTCCTTTTAATATGTGACTGTTAAATGACTTCATTAAAATCCCCGTTAAAAATTGGGTTATCACATATTTACCTGAACGAACGCAAAAAACTTTTAATTTTTAACTCTTTCGCCATATGGGGAAAAAAATATCAAATTAAAAAGTTATTTCATGTAAGACGACATTTAAAGAAATCAGTTTGGATTGAAAACTTTAGTTGAGTTTGTTCGAAAATACAGTGTTACCATACGAAGTATGAGACTTTGGAAGACGACCTAACACTCATTAAATATAACGGTCTAAAGGTTGAAATTGATTCTTAAACATTATTATTATTAAAAATTAATAATTAAGATAAATGATGATAAAAGGAAAAAGACAAGTTAACAGATGCATAAAACCATAAGTACCAGCAAAAAATGACTGAATCCGGTATGTACAATGTACATGTATTTTTTTAATCTAGAAAAAACAATTAAGTCATCTTCACCTTTTCCCCTGATTGAATATTTGTTTTCCCATTTTATATGTCCAGCAGAAAATATATTTTATTCCTTGCAGTTTCTTAAGTAAATTGTGACTTGCATATTGCAGAAACGATCATGGAAATTGCACAGAATTGAATAGGCCGTTTAACCCTATTCCTACTGGGGGAACCCCCCCCCCCCCGACGTTTTTTTGGAGAAAAGTATCGATTTTTTACTTTTCTATCTAACACATGCCCCTCACTTTAGGCTCAAAGTAGAGCCCAAGGGCTTTCAAAAAATGTAGCAAATGTAGCAAAATAAGAAAATAGAGTGGAGGGTTCCTGGGACCCCCCCCCCTCAGACTAGTTTGGGCATACCAGACGTCAGCCTGAATAGGGTTAACTTATTATTGTCCCTTTGATAGAACTAGGTTTTAATGCCACTCTTTTAAATGGAGGATCACTTGACAATTTACGTCAACAGTTCCTTTTACAGAAGAAAATACTGTTGTATATGAATAAATCAATGTATCGCAAACAGAAACTAAATGAATTTAAAACTCACACATTCAATGTTATAACACCATTCGCGAAACAAATAATTTATTTTATAAATAAGATAACAAACGATTTGAATGTAGATCGTAGGAATAAGAGTAATGAGTCTCTTAAACAATCACAATCACAAACAATATTCTCTTCCTCCTCGCACTGAAGATCATCATAGAATAACTCTTTGTCCTTTGCGGGTTGACCTGCTTACCTAGTGGGAATCCCTAACCTTTCCAGGATCTCAGGTGAACCATAGATCAGAATTCCCGGCTCTCTTCGGGCCCCAACTTGACGTGGGATTAAAAATAGATTCAACTAACTCAAATTGTATACAGACCGAAAATAGGGATATAAATATTTTATCCGTCACTATTTACAACACCAAAAGATCATCCCCTTAAGCTACATTACTAATTGGCGTCGAAGAGTATACGGTGGAACCAAATAAATTGCACTTCTGTAGTTCTATTGCTAATACGGTGAGTCAAAAACAACGGGATTTACGATCTAAGGTTATGTTTCCTTCACATATTAGGTAAAAAAAACATTAAATGTAACAAATTTGATTGTTACATAAGAAAATTCGCAAAACCAGTTTTAAAATAAAAAAATTATTATTATTATATTGTAAATAAATACATTGAAAGGAAATGGTTGTACAGTGCAATTTTGAACAGAAATAAAGAGAAAGTTAAGAACTTTATCCAAAGATATTTCAGCAATATTACATGTATGTTTTATGCTTAAAAGTAATTCTATATAGCAACGACTTTTTTTGACTACTCGAAAAGAAAAAAAACTTAGTCAATGATTCAATATATTTGACAAATTAAACAATTTGCTCTTATTATGTTCATTCTTTTCAACACTGAACAGAGTTCCCACAGTTTCTAGAGCAGTTCACCAAGTCTGCTGTATTAGAGGTCACACTTAGAACAGGTTCCGAGAGACAACAAGAGTAAGGACATGCATTTTCATCTGACCAGTAAAAATCAACCTAGAAATATTTTATTGCTATTAATTTGTTAAATTACTTTGAAGAATTTTAGATTCTGAATTTGTTGTGAAAATTAAACTTTTTAAAATCTATTCTTGATCTTGTTATCCAGTGTTCAAGAGTTCCAAGCTCTTTTCAAATTTAAAAAAAAACTTACTCTGTTATTTGCCAAACTCCATTCTCCAACACTTGCAGTCCAAATGATTTTACCACCTGTCACTTCACTTATTAGAGAAGCCTTAACAGAAAATTTGCATAAAACAAAAGTTTAAAAAAAGATTTTTTGTTTAATCACCTTGTAACATGACCCTAGAACATCCTTATCAGTTTCACCCTCAAATACAGCTTCATTTCCAGGGGCAAAGTCAATCATATCCTCATGGTCTAGTGCATTAGTTTTACATTCAGTAACCCCAGATACAATCTGTCCTCCAATGATTTCTAGAATGGGTCCATCCTCCACAGCTGTTCCTTGGCATCCATTGCATGATTCAGTGTTAAGAACAATCTGTTTGAGAACAGTCACACCATCTGCTTGTATACATTCATGAACTCCATTACATTCAAGAGATCCAGCACAGTTATCATCATCAATACAACCTAGTATTAAGATATTCTTTATTGAATTGAATGTAATTTAAGCCTAAGTATTCAATGGATTACCTGGATTGCACTGTCCAACCTCATTATTCTCGCTGTCACACCAATTGCAATTATCATACATAGGGGTGCAAATTACATCAAAACCTGGACACATTTCATCATTCCTGCAACCTGCTACACATAAATTGTCTTCAGCACAGATTGGTTTTTCAGGGTCCATACAATCTGCATCTACACAACACTCTGGGTCAGTACAGACATGATCTTCACATGTTGCACAACCACCACAATCAGCATTGGTTTTGCAACCATCCTCACAGATCAAGGCATCAGTACAATATTCAGTAGAGGCACAATCTTCATCATAACAACAATCAGGGTCAATACACTGCATAGCATTTAGGTCGCATGATGAGCATGACATGGTGGTACAATCTGAGTTCTCATTACATCCTGGAAGGCAAGTGCCTGCATCAGAACAGTACTCTGTATCTAAACAATCAGCATCTGAACAGCAATCAGGATTGATGCATTCAAAGGAATCCAAGTTACATGTCGAGCAAGTCATGGCTGTACAATCCTCATTGGCACAGCACTCTGGTTCAGTGCATTGATTGCTTTCACAGATGGCGCAGTCTTTGCAGTCAGAATCATCAGTACATCCTGGTTCACAGATCTGACTGGCTGAACAAAAAAAATTTTCTTTACAATCAGCATCTGTGCAGCATTCCGGGTTCATGCATTCAAAAGAATTTAGAGTACAAGTTGAGCAAGTCATAGCAGTACAATCATTATCTTCACAGCACTCTGGCTCAGTGCATTTATGGTTATCACATGTAGCACAGTCCACACAATCATCATCTTGGTTACAACCAAATTCACAGATTTGTTCTGCAGAGCAATACTCATTGTCTTCACAGTCTGCATCAGAACAGCATTCGGGTGTTGTGCATACATGACTTTTGCATTCTCCACATGGTACACAGGTGGAATCATCTCTACATCCTACTTTACATTTAGAATCATCAGCACAGTACTCAGTTTCCAGACAATCCTCATCTTTAAGACATTCAGGTTCATCCCCCATCTCACAGTCGATTACTGCAGGCCAATCACAAACAGGCCCTTCTGGATACTGGATTCTAACATCAAAATACAGTGCTCCATCTTCACTGGCTTTTGCACACTCAAAAAGACAAGCTGCTTGGTCTGGCTCACAAACCCAGAAACGACTACAATCTATATTATCAGATAATTAGTGTTAGAAAAGTATCCTCAAGCCCCTTAGTCCTGATTTCTTTAGTTTAATTAGCAATCTGATATTTGAAATTATTATTTATTTTTGTTTGAAGATTGACCCTTGAAACAATATAAAAGAATGACAATAAACGCCAGAGGAAATGTATTTGATAGAATGGAATATGATCTCTATTGGCCACAGTGTTGTGCCTCTAAATCCTTCAAATAGCTAAAAAAAGTCTTACTGAATGCGTGTACAATAAACACAGGTTCTTTAGTAACAGCATCCACATAGTCTGCACACTTCGGAGGTTTGCTATCCATTTCCAGACAATCCCCTGAACAGTTTTCATATATATAGAAATCTCAGTTGCCTGACAACCTACAAAGAGAGTGGACCTATCTTATGCGGTCCCGGAAGCAAAGAAAATATAGATTAAAACAAAACTTCATCTTCAGCTTGGTGTACTAAAAGAAGGAGTTTAACCCCTGATGGGTATACAAGCAATGCACAACGATATCAGTTTTTTACTCAACCAGCTTTGAGGACTTTCTGCTATGGACGATTCCTCTCCAGAAAACTTTAGGTAGGGTTTCCAACGTAATAGATTATTCTCTTACGCGTAATTACATGCAGTTGCGCTTAATAATTTTCATTTTGTGTAATTTCGCAGGATTACGCGTAATTGGGGAAATATTCATTTCGCTAAATTACGGCGTAATTTCGCGTAATTTCTACAACGTAATTTCGCAAAATTTTGTAATGATTACACGTAACAAGCGAAACTATAATTACGAGTAATTACGGTCTAATTCAGGCGCGCAACTAGACATTTTGTGAGGGGGGGGCTAGGTGAAAATTTTTTGGCCCCCCCCCTTAACATTTTTAGGGGGGGGCAAGAAAAATGTGTGTTATACTTAAACAATAAAAAACTAACCTTACCAACCTGATATTCAGTAAGTCAACACATCTGATATGAAATAAAACAAGAAATAGTAATTTCGCGAAATTTTGTAATGATTACGCGTAATAAGCGAAACTATAATTACGCATAATTATGGCCTAATTTCGCGTAATTTCTACAAGGTAATTTTGCGAAATTTTGTATTAATTGCACGTAATTAGCAAAACTTCAATTTCTACAAAGTAATTTTGCGAAATTTTGCAATAATTACGTCTATGAAATTTTGAAGTTTTAACTTTTAATTTAAATTAAACAACTAACTTACAAGGAAAATAATGTCACACAAGTTGAATCAGAAATTTCAGTTTTAGTTGGGTTTGATTTGCATTTTCCACTCATTTCTGGCATTTACAAACTCCACCAAATACAGGCTTCATTTTCTTGTGTTTTTAAAAACATTTACACTTTCAACAGCTGTAAAATTAACATACGAGCCAGTCAATTCTTTTCATGTGTGCGCAGAGCGCCAAAGAAAATTTGTTAAGTACCTTGTTTAATTACAGATATAATTACAAGAAATAATCAGTTATATTATTATATTATCAAAATACATATATAATTTTAATCACCTACATTGAAAAAGGACAGATAATGTTTTCTCCTGAAGTTATTGAATATATGATTAATCATTCTAACCAACGTTTATGATCTTATTTCCTTTTCGATTTTATAGAAGTTCGTTTAAAGAAGATAAACAGGTTATCAAATATTATAATCAGTTTGCCAGAATGTTCTCTAGATTTGGAACTGAGTTTTTGCCACAAACTCAAATACTCTAATCCCTAAATCTTTGCACCGAGTGGTGTAAACCTTTGATATTTCAAACTTAGAATATTTCACCAAAAAAATTCAAAGTTTGAAGTATCTGCACATTTGAATTATTTTCGTGCAAATTTTAAAGATATTCAATTTTAAAATCAACCTTTCTTTAAAAACAAATTCTAGGGGACCCCCAGGATTCCAGGGGGGGGGGTAATTACCCCTAGGATTCTAGGATGTGGGGGTACATAACCCCAATAACCCGCCTATTTTACGCCACTGATATTTCAACCTACTTTCTCAAGTTTGCCTTCCTTGTTTGAAAAAGTAATGTCAATAAAATCGTCAAAATAATTTTGACATGGTTGTAGCGAAAGTATCCTTACACATACTTTCCCGCTATAATTATTTCTGAGAATTAATATGTACTTTATTTATTACGTAATTTTGCGTAATTACGCCTTAATTACGCGAAACTAGTCTTTCTTTCGTAAACGTAATAAATGGGTAATTACCCGTAATCCTCCTGCGAAAGTGAAAGAAAGTGTTACGCATAATCACGCATAACGTAATTACGACTGGAAACCCTAACTTAAGGGCTTACAACTCCCCATTTTGCATAACGGGTGCAGTTATGGGTTTTCTTAATCCTCCCTGAACTCGGAAAGAGTATAATAAAGAAGGAACACAGGGAGCAATCCCCTATACCCTTCCTTCTACAAACCTCCTTATCTCTCTTCTTCCTGCTCCACAACTTGATGTCAAGAGAACTATTTGGAAAGGCCTTAAAGTGTAAAAATGTGATAAACAAGAAAAAAGAAGAAAATATTGAACCGGAAAATTAGTAGGGGTGTTTTAAGCTTTACACTATTTTTTTTACCGAATGAAGGGAATGAAGACAATGGGAGACGTCCCCCCCCTTTTATAAATTCTACCCAAAGTTAAATGATCTAGAAAGTGTGAAGAAGCTGACACAAGCAAAATATGTCCAAGTAATTCAATGGGAGAGGAAAGGGAAGTGACTTGCTCACCCTGTGCCCCCAAGAATTCAATATAGAAGCTCCAAGAAAAGAAAGCCAGTCAGCTAATTCAAATAAATACAGGGTTTGGTAAAAAGCAAGATCTTTTTAAAGTAGTTCTTTCTTGTAAAGTGGCTAATAACAAGGACATCCCTTTTCTTTTTTTCAAAATAAACTGATATATGATTGAAAGATTTCTGAAAGATTTACGAGCAAGAAGAAAAGGAAGAACAATAAATATAAAAATACCAATATATTTTCATCTGATATTATATAAATATTTTTAAATATGGTAAAATTTAAATAAAATAAATTATTAAAGTTAAAAATATATAGAAATCTCAATTTTTCTGTTTAAAACTTAAATACTAATTAAGTGATTACCTGGATCAGCCAGTGTTCTTGGGACCCAGATTAGGACTATAAGAGTTAGAAAGCGTAACAGCATTCTTCTAAAATCTAAATATTTGGGCTGAAAGATTAGAACAAAATAAGTTCTGGAAGAAAATAAAAGCATTTGTCCCCTCTGGTGGACAAGAGACCACCAGAGGGAAATTATTTCCACCAAAGGGAATACAGATTCCACTAGAGGGATGGTAATTAACTCTCAGGAGTCACGACACTAATAACTTCAGTGTAGTGATGCTGCAAATCACTAATTACTAATTACTCCATCAAAGGGGTGCTGATAACCACTCAAGACACTATAATAACTTCAAACGAGGGAAATTCCTAACCACTCAGGACACTAATTAATCCACTAGAAGGATATTGATTACCACTCAGGACACTAGTTACTCCACTAGAGAGATATTGCTAACCACTCAAGACACTAATTACTCCACTGGAGTGATGCTGCAAATCACCCTGGGTACTAATTACTCCAACAGAGGGATGCTGATAACCCCTCAGGATACTAATTTCTCTAGTTTCTCCATTGGAGGGGTGTTGAAAACCACTCAGTACACTAGTTACTCCACTGGAAGGATACTTTAAATCACAATAGGCACTAACTACTCCACAAGAGGGATGCTGCAAATCACCCTAGTTCCCTAATTACTCCACTGGAGGGATGCTGCAAATCACCCTGGGCACTACTTACTCCATCAGGGGCCCAGGGTGATTTGCAGGATCCCTCCAGTGGAGGCATCATTAATCTCAGTGGTTATCAGCATCCCTTCAGTGGAGTAATTAGTGCCTAGGGTGATCTTCAGCATCCCTTCAGTAAATGAATTAGTGTACTGAGCATCCCTCTTGTTGAGAAATTAGTGTTCTGTGTGGTAATCAGCATCTCTCACATGGAGTAATTAGTGTTTTGAGTGGAGTTATTAGTGCTCAGGGTTATTTGCAGCATCCCTCTGGTGGAGTAATTAGTGTCTTTTGTGGTTATCAGCATCTCTTCTGGTTGAGTAATTATTGCCCATGGTGATTTGCAGCTTCCCTCTGGTGGAGTAGTTAGTGTCCTGAGTGGTTATTAGCATCCCTCCAGTGGAGTAATGAGTGCCAAGTGTGATTTGCTCATCCTTTGGTAGAGTTACTAGTGTCCTTAGTGGTAATCAGCATCCTTCCAGTGGAGTAATTAGTGTCCTGAGTGATTATCAGCATTCCTCTGATGGAGTAATTAGTGCCCAGGATGATTTGCGGCATCCCTCTTGTGGAGTAATTAGCGTTCTGAGTGGTTATCAGCATCCCTCAAGAGTTGTAATTAGTGTTCTGAGTGGTTATCAGCATCCCTCCAATGAAGAAATTAGGACCCAGGATGATTTGAAGCATCCCTCTAGTGGAGTAATTAGTGTCCTGAGTGTTAGTTACCATCCCTCCAATGGAATCTGTGCTCCCTCCACCAGAAATAATTTCCCTCTGCAGGCCTCTGGTCCACCAGAAATAATTTCCCTTTACAGGCCTCCGGTCCACCAGAAATAATTTCCCTTTGCAGGCCTCCGGTCCACCAGAAATAATTTCCCTTTGCAGGCCTCTGGTCCACCAGAAATAATTTCCCTCTGCAGGCCTCTGGTCCACCAGAAATAATTTCCCTTTGCATGCCTCCGGTCCACTGGAGGCAATGGCAAATGGTACTATTTTCTTCCAGAACTCTAACAAAATAGATATTTACAAATTCATCTATCTCTCCTGAGCTGAGTCCTGATCCATTCAAACCAGCAAATCTTTTATTTACCTTAAAGCTTTAATTGACATCTGAATTTACCATTCAGATATTAAAAATTTAAATGGAAATTAAATCCTTTGTATACCCTGCATACTTGATCATCTATGTTGGAGATATTCTAGTCTTGATCTCTAAAGAAAGACTTACTTTTTCTTTTAAAAAGTTATAATTCTGCTTTTTTTTAAATTATGCAATAAAAGCCAGTAAAAAATAAATTGTTGTCTTTGTTAAAACAATTTTTGTTTTGCTTGCAGCAGTGGAAATCTTTATATGAATTTAAGATTAATGAAAATCTAAGAGTGTTTACCTTGTTAGTGATCACTTAAAACTCTGGAAGATAAATGCTGAAACTTATCTGTTTATGTAAGCAGAGAAAGATAAGTGACTGTAGAAATCACCCCCTAGAAATTGTGGTATTTTTAATATTACAGAAAATATTAAGAATTTTTAGAAATAAGGAATTTACAGAGAATATAAAGAATTTACAGAAAATATAAAGAATTTACAGAAAATATAAAGAATTTACAGAAAATATAAAGAATTTACAGAAAATATACAATCTAAGCTTGATTTCTATTGAAAACAAGAGATAAGTGGAATAGAAAGCATAATTACTAAAAGATAAAACATATAAAACTATACAAAATAATATCAATATATATAAAAATAAATGAGAAATTTTTTCTCCATAGCCCAGCCATATATTGATATTTCAATAGATAATATTTACATGACAAAGATATACTTAATTTTAAACAAACATCATTGCGGATTTAGGAAAGATTAATATCAGTATAACTTGATCCCGGGATTCTTATCACAAAAATTCTGACTTCTTTTCATTCCCTTGGATGGTCTAATTTCAAGATGTCACATTTTTAATTTTGATATTTATTATTTTGAACCAGTTTTAATTGTGAGTTGTTTAAGGTTGTATATGCTGACATTATTCTAACAAGCTTAAATCGTAACAAAAACTATTCTAGATCCAAATGATTCACAATATGTATATATTATAGATGTATATATATAATCAGAATAGAATAACTGACATTTAAAAAAACTAGGCTTTTAGGGCGCTTCGTGCCCATCTTCTTTTTCAACTTTTGATTGTGACTTTATCTGTGAGCATCTTCTCTTTGTACAGTATAAAAAAAATGTTATCTGCGCATTTTCAAAATGTTACCAAATTAAATAATTTAAGATAAAAATATTGCATAATTAAAGTCTGATTGGCCATAAACCTTCCGTGGGGCCATGTGAGGTCCCACACAAAATTTGGGCCTGATCGGTTTAGCCATTTTGACTTTTATTGGACACAAACAAACAGACAAACAAACAAACAGACACCCAGACAAGCTAAATTTATATGTAAATGAATAAAATGCGAACGATGGAACTCTAGTAAATGCTTACCTTAAACGACTTATACGAGGAGAACAATTTAAATATTATATCCTAATTGCTTTCAGGAAGTAATATAGATGTAAAGTGGAGGGATCAAGTACAAGATTCAAAATTGGTCAATTGTTTGAGTCACGGAAGTTTGTAGTAAGATTTTGGCTCCACTGGAGACCACCGGAGGGAATACATTTTCACATGAGGGGTTTGAAAGAAATGATTTTTTAAAATTTTAAAGTTTATGCAGGGTGATTTACATTCCACTTGAGTGATTCAGATATCTTTCCAGGGGGTTTATAATACCACTGGAGGGATTCAGATATCCTCTCAATGGGTTTATAATTCCACTGAAGGGATTTAAAAATCTTTCCAGGGGGTTTATAAATCCACTGGAGGGATTCAGATATCCTTCCTATGGGTTTATAATCCAACTGGAGAGATTCAGAAATCTTTCCAGCGGGGTTTATAAATCCACTGGAGGGATTTAGATATCCTTCCTATGGGTTTATAATTCCACTGGAGGGATTCAGATATCTTTCCAGGGGGTTTATAATTCCACTGTAGGGAAAGACAAACTCCTGAAAGACAAACTCCTGACAAGACAAACTCCTGAAAATACAAACTCCTAAAAGACAAACTCCTGAAATTATGAAATTTTTCGCTGAANAATACCTTCTATGCTTTTAACTTGTTTATTTGAGACCAGAACTTTGAGCTCAGTTTTATAAGGAATCACAGTAGTCAATAGTCGAGCAGTTTTGATTTTTGAATTGAAAGGTTAAGTTAGAATTTAAAAGTTTTGTCATTCTCTTACATCGGTCAAGGGGTTCCCGAGTTATAATCGGATAAACAAGCAGAAAAACTGAGATTACAACTTTATATAAAGGGTTACTCCCAAACGTTGAGACTGTAAAGACGACTAGAAACTCTTGAAATACGACGATCCCAAGGTGAAATGAATATTCTGCCTTAGATACAGTAATCTAAAGGTTTATTTAATGATTTGGCATAGGAACAAACAAGTTTACCTATGAAGTGAATCATGAATGCAAGGAAACATGCAGTACAAATTCAGTACAATCGTCTATGAAGTCTCATCCTTTGAGGGTAACCCTGTATATAGATTCTTGGATTCTTGGAAATAGAGATGTCAACCATAGTGTAACGTAACGTAAAATGTACGTTTTTGTACGTTACCTTACAATAATGTGTAACGTTTGGATATATTCTATATAACGTGAACGTTATAGAAGCTCATACCTATTGTTAACGTTAAACGTTAATGTTAGAGGAATATACCCCCAATGTTAGCGTTTTGTGGAAATGTAACGTTATTTTTCCAATATCTACAACTTTTTTGACCATAACCTAAAGAAATGTTTTGTTTCCAAAGGGAGCTTGAAAGTCTAACGTTTGAAAATGAATTGTGATTTGATTGAATATTGTAACGAAAGGATTTCTATTTCAAAGTTCAACTTATAAAAAGTGTAACGTTGTATAACTGAAAAATGCATTACTGTTTATGAAAACGTTTTGATACGTTTTCCCTTTCAGTATAATGAAAATTCAAAGTTGCAGAAATGGGTTATTATTTTAATAATCAGGAAACGAAAGTTTTTTTACAGAGTAAAATTTCAATAATGTAACGTATAAAAAATGTAATTCTGTAAATCAAAACGTTTCATAACTTTTCTCTGAATACTAAATTGATAAGTCTAACGTTAGATATATGTCTATTATATTTCAAATCCCTATATCTTTGCTACCCAATGTTGTAGACCTTAGATATTTTAAACTATGAATTCTGTTAGAAAGAAGAAAAGGGTCAGTCTGCATTTCGTAAAAAAAGAAAAAATTAACCCTAAACTAATCTAAATTAATTTAGAACAACTACTTCACATGCAAAAGTGGTCTGCCTTGCCGAATTTTAACTCATTTTATGAAGTGTCCAAAAACATGTCTATTTTTTAAGCTCGTCAAATACACGATGATAATATCAAGTGATCCTCCATTTAAAGAGGGCCATGCTCGATTCCCAATGATAACGTGTATACCTTTATCTGATTGATGATTTGAAAATTAGGAGTGTTTTCCTGTCTAAAGAAGTTATGGCCAAATAACGGTACTAAATTCCAATTTTTAAATTTTTTAATGTTTTTGATGAGTTTTTTAGCTCTGACTCTCTCAATTTAAAATTTTTTTGAATGCTTTTTAGATTTGAATTTAGCATTGAATTTCCAAGAAAATGATGTATAACATGAAAATAAAAAACGCAGCGACTTCCGGTGGGCGGTTGGATCTATTACAATATTGTTCACCCCTACTGCACAATGGACATGCCACTCCATAAATGGAATGTCACTTGAAATTACGTCTCTAGTCCCTTTAAGACACACTTTGAGTTGAAGTCTAATGCTAAAAACTTTCATTTACAAATTTTAAAAATCGTTAAACATAATAATATTATAACATCTTTATATTGCATAATGCATATTCTTCAGCACATTCTCTAAAAAGGTAAACGATACAACAGCAACATACAGGATGAGTAAAAATATGTAATTATCACGGAAAAAAATCTTTCAATGCTTTCATTTAGAAACAATAATGTTTTAATAAAGTGTAACGTTAGAAACATTAAGGCTTGAACATTTTAATACAACGCAACATAAAGAACATTTTTTCAAATCTTTCTTAGAAACGAAACAAATAAACAGTTTTGATTGTCAGTTGTAAAAAAGTGTAACAAAAAAGTTTTCACAATCGTAACGTAAGAAAAGGTGCACTTAAGTAAAATTTCTAAACGTAATTAAAAGAGTTTATATTGGAAAAGTTAAGATAAAACGTAACGTTAACAAAAAATATTCTTTGCACTGAAATGCATTGTAGCGTACAGAACTATGCCCCAATGACGTTTCATTAAAGTAAAACGTTTGTCATCTTTTAGATCTTAAACCAAGTGAAAGTGTAACGTAAGGTCTCT